TTTTATATGGTTCCACAGCAGCGTATAAATCTTAGATATTTTCTTTTCGATTCAACTTCCTTTATTCAAAAAATACTACGGTACAGTATTTATGATACAATTACACAGTTACAATTTGTGAAAAGAAAAAAAGATAAAATCTGTATGAAAAAAAAGGGAGGATAGAGTTAAATAAAGAAAAAATATTAAAGACTAAATTTAGTGCCTTTAGTTTTTAACTAAAGGAACGATTGAAAATAAAACGGTTAGAGAAAAAAAAATTTCAATTATATAGATAGACAACCTTTTTACGAATGGCAAATACAGACAGAATAAGAAGTGGCTTTTAGAATTGTAGGTACTCTTTTTGTACGGAAAATATATGTACACCTATAGGTTTGACCATCTGCTTAAACACAAATTGATTTTAAGTTATAAATATTTTAGGTAACGTCATGTTAACATTTAACATGTAATATATATTTAAATCAAGTAATATAAAAAAATACAATATATAATTTCTATAAAAACGAAAAAATCATTTTGATCAACTATGTACATTGTTCATATTAAATTGGATTTTAGTTATACCCACGGTAGTTGTTTGGTTTCGTTGTGTACTACTCGTATGATAATATCACAACCATAGTTCATAACTTATTTGTAATTAGTAACCACACCATAAATGAAATTGCTCAGAGAATTGTTTCCTCTAACTATGCACTGTGTTTAATGTGTATACTAACACCCGAGCTATATTTTGGGATACATAACATTATACTGAACTTAATTGAACCGTGAATTTCGAAAAGGGCTCATATCTGAAAATTAAAATTTTTCAGGAAACTAAAAAAACTGATTTTCTTTTGAATTATTTTCTTTATTTTAACAATTAACAATAATTAATTAATTCATTACAACAGAAAAGATATATGAGATATATGAAAAAAATGCAGCCAAGTCTATTTTGATAAAAACCTGGGCCCTTTTCATAATGCACGATTCAATTATAAAAAATAAAATAATTAAAATTCAAGCAAGTCATTTTTTTTTTTTCTTAATGTTTACCAGTTTCTTTGTATATTCCTATAGTTTAATTTTAAAACTCACCTAACATGCATTTAAAAAGCTGATATCTTGTCTCACTTTTTATTAGAAATAATTAAAATTTAAAGTACAGTAAAAATATTAGATAAAGTATAACAATTAATATGTAGATTTTAAAAAAATAAACTGTAAGATAACACTAGCGAAAATTCGTCCTTCATCCCTTCGATCCTATAAATCTATTATTGAATTAATAGCTAATATTGAGTTTAAAATAAAACTCATTTCTTTAATAAAACGATTCTAAGGAAATTTTTAATATTAAAATATACAATTATTTTAATATTTTTAGTCTGTTAGTTCTTCTTTGCGGATAACACGACAATTTTCACCGAATCACACAACATCAAAGCAATAACCTCAAACCTGCAAACCCATTTTGATACACTATCTTACTGGTATAAAATATGGTGGGTTCAAATAAACGCATCAAAAAGCACAGACGTTATATTCAGTCTTCGTCGTTACCGTCCCCTTGCACAATTAGTATTTAACAACGAAAATATACCTTGGAACTCGTCAGTAAAATACCTCGGCTTGACACTAGATAAACGACTAACATGGTAGCCCCATATTTCATCTAAGCTTCAACAAGCATACCAGTGCCTTTCTATATTATACCCGGTTCTCAACAAAAAATCTTCAATACAAAAAAATGTTCTATTCTTATATTTAAACAAATTCTACGTCCACTACTAATTTACAATGCAACAAAAAACAGTATACTACTTTCCTCAAACTTCATCCGATTGTTGATCATATTGCAACATATCTTGAAACTAAAAAAAAATGTTTCTGCGCTTTTCCTCGACGTTACTCGAAACCGTATGGCACGAGGATTTGTTATTCAATATTAAAACAATTTTCCCTGCACCTTACTAACTTCTAAAATCCTACCTAACTAATAGAGCTTTCAGAGTCAAACTAAAAACCTCACTTTCCGCCTCACATAACCTCTTGGCTGGGGTACCAAAAGGGAGCGACGTTGCACCTTTTCTCTACACTTTGTACAAAGCGGATATTCCTACAACACAAAACACCCTAATCGGGACTTACGCCGACGACACAGCAGTTCTCTCATCCAGTCAAGACCCTTTTGAAGCTTGCTACCAACTCCAAACTTATCTGAACATTTTATATCACTGGTTCAAGTCATGGAAAATCAAGATAAATGACTCCAAATCCAACCACATCACTTTTTCTCTTTGTCTCGGAGACTGTCTACATATAAGACTTGAGAACGCAATCATTCCACGCGCAATTGAAGTAAAATACCTTTGTTTTCTGCTTGACAGAAGGTTCACCTGGGCACCCCACCTCAAAAACAATCGGAAATTACTGAACAAACACCTTCACATCCTTATACTTCACTCGATATCTCATATAAACATATCAAACTGCCTACTACTTTACAAAACATTGTTGCAACCTATCTGGTCTTACAGAATAGCCCTCTGGGGCTCTGCCAAGTCTTCAAACACTTGAACCATTCAAGCATTCCAAGCCATTTGCCTCCGTATCATTGCTAATGCCCCTTGGTACGTCACAAACACCGCATTGCACAGTGATCTTCAAAATCTCACTATCAAAAAAAACGGCTAGGTATTATAAATTACTCACGTCTACACTCCAAAATGGAACACCACTCCAACCCTCTCATCACTCAACTTCATTCCAACACACTACCGGAAAATCCACACAGACGATTGAGACGTGAATGGCCAAGAGATCTTCTCAATCTAAACCGCTAAACCACTTTTAACTTATATTATATTGTTTTATTACTCATACCTAATTATTTTTCTCATTGTTAGGTTTTTCTAATGTAAAATGCCTTCTCACTGTTCACTTTTAATCACTGCCTCACTTTTTCCACACATTTACTCAATGCACTCTTTGTATAGATTGTAAATTTTCATGAAATAAATGATATTTATTAAAAAAAAAAAAACAATTGGTTAAATTGAAGTAAATAATATCTAGCATTTTGTACACACGTAAAATTATAATAAAACAAAGCATTTCAGTATATTTATAATAGAAATAAAACAATAAAATAATTTACTTGGAAACTTTTCCATTTTAAATTGAAAGAGGCAATAAAGCAATAATATTTTAATAAAATATATTTTGAATTAAAGTTATATTTTGTATCAAATTTAGTTATAAATGTATAGCTTGGGCAATAAATGTCGCAATAAAATGTCACGTTGTTTTAACAAAAAAAAAAAAAAAAAAAAAAATTGAATTGTAACACGATATTAGAGTTTAAAATTAAAAAAAAAAATAAAATGGCATAAATTACTCGAAATACATTTGGAAACACGGTTATGATTTATATTTATTGACGTTGATAATATATATTCGCAACCAATAAAGCATGCGGTACCTATTGTGATATCGAGCAGTCGTAGTACTTTCGTTTAAATAAAATCAATTGTATTCCGGGTAGAAAATTTATCCCTTCATTATGTTACCCTTCAACTCTTCATTAAAAAAAACCGCTTGCTACACTCACGTTTAATTTTTCCTATTTTAGTGCACTTTTACATAGTATTTTTAATTCACATAAAATACAAAATAATAACTCAGTTTTACTTGCCTAAATATAGTTAAAGGAAATTTTTTTTTAGAAGATTAATTATTGTACTCTTCGGTCTGAGGGTCTCATCTCCATAGAAATCGAAATTTAGCATATACCTATATCTCAATAGAATACCATGTAAAATAAAATATTCTTGATTACCTGGTTATAAATTGTAGATGCTACTAAATAATATAAATAACTTGAAGAAAGAACATATTTTTCATAAGATTTTATTTATTTATCATTGCCATATGCAAAAAAAAAAAAAAAAATTATCATTCATAAATAATTTTTAACCGAGTATGCAAAAAAATTGACTAGTTTTTATTTAGAATTACATTAGTATTTAACCACCCCATTAAATATTTAAGGAAGGCTATTGTCTTCCCAAACCACCCCTTAAATACGACAAACAATGCAATTGTTCTATGAACTACGATCTTGGATTTGTTACTCAATATTCATAAATGCAGTACCATGTCTATCTATCTATCTAAAAATCTATTCACCTGATGATTATAGATTATAATATTAAATTTTCTTATCCCTAAAATCCACAGATCTCAGCAAGTTCTTAATCCACGATTTAGGTTAGGTTGAACTAAAAACAAAAAAAGTCCTATAAACTACTGGAAGGCATCGATTATTGTCAACAAAATGTAACTACACTTAAACATAGTTACCAGAGAGTTGATCTCTTCTTCTTCACTTAACTCAGAAATGTTCGCCAAAATCTATTAAGTTTCTAAATATTTTAAATTTTAAGCTGATTGTCGTCAACGCACAGTATTATTCATTCAAAAAAAAAAAAAATAAAAATAATTTTTGAAGTTCCTTGTCCCATGATAACACGTATCAAATATTGTGGATTCTTGTCAATCGACTAAACGTAGACACCGTGTACAATTTTTAAATTATATACATTTCTCAGACATAGTATTAAATTTATAACTTTTAAAATTCCGTCACACATCAAATTTTAAAATATATTTCAGTTCCTAGAAATTCGTCTAAAATGGATTGTTCACTGCTTGAGCCAACGTTGTACACCATCAAAGGCCTAGCCATTTTAGATAATGATGGTAATCGTATTCTAGCCAAATATTACGACAACAATATATTTCCTACGATTAAGGAACAAAAAGTTTTTGAAAAAAATCTATTCAATCGAACTCATAGAGCCAACGCAGAAATCATCATGTTAGATGGAATCACCTGTTTATACAGAAGCAATGTGGATTTGTTCTTTTACGTCATGGGCAGTTCGCATGAAAATGAATTACTATTGATGAGTGTCTTACAATGCATGTATGATTC